TTATAGAGACAAAAAAATATCCACAGAAAAAAAAAATCTCGCAGAAGCCTAAAAATGTTGTGTTTTATATAAATTTTCAAAACGTGGATTTTTTAAAAACATTTTTTTAAGGACTATCAACAAATGTGGATTTTTTAAAAATATTTTTTTAGCGATTATCTCTAGACGTGGATTTTTTAAAAACATTTTTAAAGAACTATTGTTAGACGTGGATTTTTTAAAAATATTTTTTTAAAGGCCTATCAACAAACGTGGATTTTTTAAAAATATTTTTAAAGAACTATTGTTAGACGTGGATTTTTAAAAAATATTTTTAAAGAACTATTGTTAGATGTGAATTTTTTAAAAATATTTTTGAAAGGACTATCCTATGATGTGGATTTTTTAAAAATATTTTTTAAAGAACTATCAACAAACGTGGATTTTTTAAAAATATTTTTTAAAGAACTATCAACAAAAATGGATTTTTTAAAAATATTTTTGTTAGACTATCTACAAACGTGGATTTTTTAAAAATATTTTTTAAAAGACCTTCCCCAGACTTGGATTTTTTAAAAATATTTTTTAAAAGACCTTCCCCAGACGTGGATTTTTTAAAGGATCTTCCAGAGACGGGGACTTTTTAAAATTATTTTTTAAAGGACCTTCCAGAGACGTGGATTTTTTAAAAATATTTTTTAAAGGACCTTCCAGAGACGTGGATTTTTTAAAAATATTTTTTAAAGGACCTTCTTCAGACGTGGATTTTTTAAAAATATTTTTTAAAGGACTATCAATAAACGTGGATTTTTTACAAATATTTTTTAAAGGACTATCAATAAACGTGGATTTTTTAAAAATATTTTTTAAAAGACTATCAATAAACGTGGATTTTTTAAAAATATTTTTTTAAGGTCTATCCTTAAGGTAAATTTTTTTAAAAGATTTTTTGAAGGCCATACCGCAGACATGGATTTTTTAAAAATATTTTTTTAAGGTCTATTCTTAGAGGTGAATTTTTTAAAAATATTTTTTGAAGGCCATACCGCAGACTTGGATTTTTTAAAAATATTTTTTTAAAGTCTATCCTTAGAGGTGAATTTTTTAAAAATATTTTTAAACTACTATCAACAAACGTGGATTTTTTAAAAATATTTTTTAAATTACTATCAGCAAACGTGGATTTTTTAAAAATATTTTCCAGACGTGGATTTTTTTAATATTTTTTAAATTACTATCAACAAATGTGGATTTTTTAAAATATTTTTTAATTGACTATCCTAAGACATTGACTTCTTAAAAATATTTTTTGAAGGACTATCCTAAGACGATGACTTTTTTAAAAATATATTTTAAAGGACTATCTCCTGTAGTAAATTTTTTAAAATATTTTTAAAGGACTATCCCCTGTAGTAATTTTTTTAAAATATTTTTAAAGGACTATCCTCAGACGTGCATTTAAAAAAAATAAATAAATAAAATAAAATTTAAAAAAAAAAAATATTTTTAAAGGGCTATCCCCAGATGTGATTTTTTTAAAAATATTTTTTTGAAGGACTATTTCCAGACGTGGACTTTTTAAAAATATTTTTAAATAACTATCCTTAGAGGTGATTTTTTTAAAAATATTTTTTTAAGGACTACCGTATGACCTGGATTTTTTAAAAATATTTCTAAAAGACTATCAACAAACGTGGATTTTTTAAAAATATTTGTTTAAGGTCTATCCTTACAGGTGAATTTTTTAAAAATATTTTTTAAAGGACTATCAACAAACGTGGATTTTTTAAAAATATTTTTTAAAGGACTATCAACAAACGTGGATTTTTTAAAAATATTTTTTAAAGGACTATCAACAAACGTGGATTTTTTAAAAACATTTTTTAAAGGAGTAGCAACAAACGTGGATTTTTTAAAAATATTTTTTAAAGGAGTAGCAACAAACGTGGATTTTTTAAAAATATTTTTTGAAGGACCTTCCAGAGACGTGGACTTTTTAAAAATATTTTTTAAGGATTATTTCCAGACGTGGATTTTTTAAAAATATTTTTTAAAGGACCTTCCAGAGACGTGGATTTTTTAAAAATATTTTTTAAAGGACCTTCCAGAGACGTGGATTTTTTAAAAATATTTTTTAAAGGACCTTCCAGAGACGTGGATTTTTTAAAAATATTTTTTAAAGGACCTTCCAGAGACGTGGATTTTTTAAAAATATTTTTTAAAGGACCTTCCAGAGACGTGGATTTTTTAAAAATATTTTTTAAAGGACCTTCCAGAGACGTGGATTTTTTAAAAATATTTTTAAAGGACCTTCCAGAGACGTGGATTTTTTAAAAATATTTTTTAAAGGACCTTCCAGAGACGTGGATTTTTTAAAAATATTTTTAAAGGACCTTCCAGAGACGTGGATTTTTTAAAAATATTTTTTAAAGGACCTTCCAGAGACGTGGATTTTTTAAAAATATTTTTTAAAGGACCTTCCAGAGACGTGGATCTTTTAAAAATATTTTTTTAATGGATCCGAGATTTTTTTTTTAATGTCCACAATAACGGAGTACCCTGTTCATGTTTCTGATCATCTCCACCAACAATGGAGCTTTGCTTGGCCAATTTTTTGTTTTGTTTGTTTTCTTGTTTTGTTTAGGAAGTCATTTTCAATTAGCGACGCTTGTAATCTTAGCAAGGGGAATTTTTAAGATTAATAATGTTTTGATCGTGACCAATTCGAAGAGGTGGGGCGGGTTACGATTGATTGCATTTTCGATATTTGAAATTAATTAATTTGACACATCACGAAGTGTCTAATTGAGAATTAATTCCATTAAATTAGGACAAGCATGGATAAGATTATACGGACAAAATTCAAAATAACGGTAACCTTAGAATTTCAAAATTAAATTCAACTTCCGAAAACAATATTTTAAAATATACTGGAATATTTCCGGAACATTCGCTCTTTGGGATGATGATTTAATAAATTTCCAACACTCTTTTCAAAGTTCGATCCCCTCTCTCCCAAATTTGGTGATACATTGGGCAACTAACCCATTTTTTGTTTTTGTTTTTATTTGGAATAATTTCCAAAATTAAAAAAAAAAAATTGATCATTATCAAACGAAATCTTTTCTTCCCCCGTGATTTATTACAAAAGCAAAATGTTATCAAATTTTAATATTGCAGCCATTATCTGCGATGATGTCCCAAAAATCAAACACCAGCGCGTTCACGCTTTGTGTTTGTCATCCCTCATTGATCGTTTTCTTTCATAACCGTGGGTCCGCAATTTTGTTATTATAGTTTGCTGCGAAACTATTTCACCCGACAAAATAGCAGAAGCTGTTAAAGATGATGACAAATGATTATTTTTTCTGAGGTTCGATGTTTGTTGTAGACCTTACAAGTTAACAATAACCACAGCAACAGCAACAACAACACCACCTAAGTTTAACTTGTCTCGTTTATAATCATCAAAAAATAGGAATTCATTTGGCCTAATGGTTATGTATGAATTATTCAACAACAAATGTTTTTGGGGGTAACATATTCTCTTCACCGATGGCAAAGAGATTAAGTCACATTTTTCATTCAAAAAATAAAAGAAAAAATTGGTAGATAACAACTTTACCATACAAAAAAGTTGCCGATAACAACTTTTCGGTTTAGAAAAATTGTCGATATTTAGTTTTTTTTATCCAAAGGTTACCGATAACAAGCTTTCTGTGTGGAAAAGTTATCGATAATATGCTTTCTGTACAGAAAAGTTATCGATAATAAGTTTTTTCTTAAGAAACCTTATCGATAATAAGTTTTCTTCTCAGAATAATTATCGATAATAAGTTTTCCGCATGGAAAAGTTATCGATAGTAAGTTTTCTGCATAGAAAAGTTATCGATAATAACATTTCCGCGTAGAAAAGTTATCGATAATAAGTTTTCTGTATAGAAAAGTTATCGATAATAATTTTTCCGTATAGAAAAGTTATCGATAATAACTTTTCCGTATAGAAAAGTTTTCGATAATAACTTTTCCGTATAGAAATGTTATCGATGATAACTTTTCCGTATAGAAATGTTATCGATAATAACTTTTCCGTATAGAAATGTTATCGATAATAACTTTTCCGTATAGAAAAGTTATCGATAATAACTTTTCCGTATAGAAAAGTTATCGATAATAATGTTTCCGTATAGAAAAGTTATCGATAATAATGTTTCCGTATAGAAAAGTTATCGATAATCACTTTTCCGTATAGAAAAGTTATCGATAATAACATTTCTGTTTAGAAAAGTTACCGATAATTACATTTCCGTATAGAAAAGTTATCGATAATTACATTTCCGTATAGAAAAGTTATCGATAAAAACTTTTCCATACAGAAAAGGTATCGATAACAAGTTTTTCGTATAGAATAGTTATCGATAATAACTTTTCCGTATAGAAAAGTTATCGATAATAACATTTCTGCTAGAAAAGTTATCGATAATAACTGTTCCGTATAGAAAAGTTATCGATATTAACTTTTCCGTATAGAAAAGTTATCGATATTAACTTTTCCATATAGAAAAGTTATCGATAAAAACTTTTCCATATATAAAAGTTATCGATAATAACGTTTCTGTATAGAAAAGTTATCGATAACAACTTTTCTGTGTAGAAAAGTTATCGATAACAACTTTTCTGTGTAGAAAAGTTATCGATAAAACTTATCAATAATAACTTTTCCATATAGAAAAGTTATGGATAATAACTTATCCATATAGAAATGTTATCGATAATAACTTTTCCGTTTAGAAAAGTTATCGATAATAACTTTTCCGTAGAGAAAAGTTATCGATAACAACTTTTCCGTAGGGAAAAGTTATCGATAACAAATGTAGCCTTTGGTTAACATTATTTTAATTTTTCGACTTAGTCACTTTACCACTTGAGCCATAACCTCCCGGTCTCACTCTCACTTTCGTTGGGAAAGTGTGGAAGATTCCCCGCACTTGTGGCCGCGGCTAGTCTAATTTCGACCTCAAAGCGATCACAATGTACGGACGTCATATTATCTTGGTGACGGTCTTCCTTGTCTTTCCGTTCATCCTGCCGCCTGTGGGTGGCCAGCAAGCGGTTAGCAATTTTTTCTCCTTCGTCTTGGATCGGTTCCGCGAGGGCATGAACATGTCCAATCTGGAGTATAGTGACAACAATGTGAAGATATTGAAAAACTATGACTTTGTGATTGTGGGTGCGGGAACGGCGGGGTGTGCCTTGGCGGCCCGCCTTTCGGAGGTTCCTTCGTGGAAGGTGTTGCTGCTGGAAGCTGGCGGTCCTGAGGTATGGCCCATGGATATACCCGTTGTGGCCAATATGTTGCAGGCAAACTATGACATTAACTGGGCATATCGCACCCAACCCTCGGATAAGTTTTGTTTGGGTCTCAAGGATAGACGTTGCAACTTCCCGAGGGGCAAGGTCATGGGTGGTTCGTCGGTGCTGAATTATATGATCTATACGAGAGGCAATCGCCGAGACTATGACACCTGGGCCGAGATGGGCAACGAGGGATGGAGCTACAAGGATGTGCTGCCGTATTTCAAGAAATTGGAAGATTCTTTGGTCCCCAATGCCGATGAGGAATATGTGGGCCGCAATGGTCCTGTCAAGGTTTCCTATGCCCGCTGGCGTTCCCAGGTGAGCAAGGCCTTTGTTTTGGCTGCCATACAGAATGGCAGTGATTATGTGGACTACAATGGCCGGCGCCAAGTGGGGGTGTCCTACATCCAAACCACCACAGATCAGTCGATACGCTGGAGTGCCAATCGGGCCTATTTGTATCCCATCAAGGGGAAGCGTCCCAATTTACATATCAAGAAATTTGCCATGGTCACAAAGGTGTTGATTGATCCGAAAACGAAGAAGGCCTATGGCGTGTTGTTTGAGTCCAATGGCCAGTCGTTTGAGGTGAGGGCCCGCTTGGAGGTGATATTGTCTGCTGGAGCCATCAACAGCCCACAGCTCCTGATGTTATCAGGGGTGGGGCCGGCAAAACATCTGATGGATATGGGTATTGAACCCTTGGCTAATTTGGCGGTGGGCTACAATCTCCAGGATCACATAGCTCCGGCCCTGAACATTGTCACCAATGAGACCACCCTGACGGTGGAGGACTTCTTTGACATTGATGAGATTGTCAAGTTGAACACACGCAATAGCATGCTGTCGCTGCCCGGGGCCGTGGAGGCCATTGCCTTTTATGATCTACAAAATCCCCAGGATCCAGATGGTTGGCCTGAACTGGAGCTGTTCACCACACCGGGAGCGTTTCATGAAAATGTCTTCCTGGCCTCGGCTATTGGTATACGCTCGGACATCCTTCATGCCCTGTACGATGATGTGGTGGACAACGAGAAAAGTGTCTTCCTGATCTTTGCCATGCTCCTGCAGGCCCGCAGCAAGGGACGTATAATTTTACGCAGCAAAGATCCCGCCCAATATCCGCTGATATATCCCAACTATCTACAGGATCCCTACGATATGGATGTCCTTGTGAAGGGGTTGCAAAAAATTATCCACCTCCTAGAACAGCCAGCCATGAGGCGTATCAATGCCACCCTCCTGCAGCAACATGTGCCCAGTTGCCGGCAATACTCTGATATAACGTCGAGGGAATATCTGCAGTGCTACATACGCCAGCTGACCTTTACTATCTACCATCAATCGGGTACAGCGAAAATGGGACCACCCACCGATTCCGAGGCTGTGGTGGATCCCCGTTTGAGGGTCCACGGCATTAAGAAGTTGAGGGTGGTCGATGCCAGTATTATGCCGAAATTGGTGGCAGGACATCCCAATGGTCCGATTTTCATGATTGCTGAGAAGGCGGCGGATATAATAAAAGAGGATTATGGGAAATTGTGAGAGGGTGGGTGGGGGCACTTAGGAAATTTTGAAATTATTATTAAATTGTATTTATTTTTAAATTCTAATAAAAACAATAAAAAAACAAAAAAAGAAAAAAATCTGAAAAAAAAAATTTCTTATCGACTTATCGATAGTTTTTTTCTGAAGAAAATTTGTTATCGACAACTTTTCTAGGCAGAAAAGTTATTATCGAAAAATTTTCTGAGCGGAAAAGTTTTTATTGATAACTTTTCTATATCGAAAAGTTATTATCGACAGCTTTTCTAGGCAGAAAAGTTGTTATCGACAATTTTTCTAGGCGGAAAAAGTTGTTATCGATAACTTTTCTAGGCGGAAAAGTTGTTATCGACAATTTATTTTAGGCGGAAAAAGTTGTTATCGACAACTTTTCTAGGCGGAAAAAGTTTTTATCGATAACTTTTCTAAGCGGAAAAATTTTTATCGATAACTTTTCTGGGCGGAATAGTTGTTATCGATAACTTTTCTGGGCGGAATAGTTGTTATCGATAACTTTTCTAGGCGGAAAAGTTATTATCGATAGCTTTTCTAGGCGGAAAAGTTATTATCGATAACTGTTCTGTATAGAAAAGTTATTATCGATAACTTTTCTGTATAGAAAAGTTATTATCGATAACCTTTCTATGCGGAAAAGTTATTATCGATAACCTTTCTATGCGGAAAAGTTATTATCGACAACTTTTCTGGGCGGAAATGTTGTTATCGACAACTTTTCTGGGCGGAAATGTTGTTATCGATAACTTTTCTAGGCGGAAAAGTTATTATCGATAGCTTTTCTAGGCGGAAAAGTTATTATCGAAAACTTTTCGAGGCGGAAAAGTTATTATCGATAACTTTTCTAGGCGGAAAAGTTATTATCGATAACTTTTCTCTACGTAAAATTTATTATCGATAACTTTTCTCTACGTTAAATTTATTATCGATAACTTTTCTCTACGTAAAATTTATTATCGATAACTTTTCTCTACGGAAAATTTATTATCGATAACTTTTCTATAGGGAAAAGTCTTTATCGATAACTTTTATATACGGAAAAGTTATTATCGATAACTTTTCCATACGGAAAAGTTATTATCGATAATTTTTCTATACGGAACAGTTATTATCGACAACTTTTCTATACGGAAAAGTTATTATCGATAACTTGTCTATAAGGAAATGTTATTATCGATAACTTTTCTACACGGAACAGTTATTATCGACAACTTTTCTAGGCGGAAAAGTTGTTATCGATAACTTTTCTATGCGAAAAAGTTATTATCGATAACTTTACTAGGCGAAAAAGTTATTATCGATAATTTTTCTATGGAGATACTTTGTTATCGAAATTGATGTTATGTGATTTGTTTTTTTTTTTTATTGACTTATGTTACTGTCGACCCACCTTGTGCACTTCAGAAAATAGGTTATAATTACATGAACTGGTTCTGAACCCATTTTTGTTTCATTGTAATTCTATGCTTCACAAAGAAAGAGTGCGCAACGACCTTGGCCATTACAAACAACTTCCTATTTCTATGGGTAGTTGGTTCAATGAACCGTTTCGTGCGGCATAAGCGTGCGACTTTGTAAGACTGTGATTAATCTTTTGAAAATATGACAACAACAAAAACAACAATTACAATATTACTTCCGATTTTTCAAGTAACCCATTTGTGTGGTTTTTTTATTGTAACGCATTTTACAAGAAGCATGTGGCGTAGAAAAACCGGTTTCCGTATTTCACTGAATGGGTTACATATTTCAATTCTCCATGGGCAGAGGTACTTTGGGCAGAGTTATTACGTATTTTAGGTAGATTAGTGACTCATTCCCAACCCTATTCGCTCATGGGGTGATGGAAGACATGAAGTCTACTAAACATGTAATTAAGGTTTGGAGTGACTTAAGTATTTTCGCATAGAGTTTGTGTTCTGAAATATTTTGAAAAAAATAAGTGTTTTCTATGGAATAAGTCTCCAATTTTGGTTATCGAAAATTTTGAGATGCCAAAGGCTTGTTATGGTTCACCTGCTGAAGTAGAAACCATATTCTCTACTTTTTTGTAATAATATGGCTATAACTTTTCTCTACACAAACATTGTTATCGATTACTTTTCTATACAGAAACATGTTTATCGATAACTTTTTTTTGCAGAAAAATGTTATTATCGATGGCCGTTGTTGGCAAATATTGGGTTATCGGTAACTTTTGTGTACAGAAATGTTGTTATCGATCAGTTTTCTTTACTGAAATGTTTTTATCGGACAATTTTCTGTATAAAAATCTTGTTATCGATAACTTTTCTACACAGAAATGTTATTATCGATAACATTTCATCACAGAAATGTTGTTATCGATAGCTTTGCTGCACGTAACTGTTGTTATCGATAACTTTTCTATACAAAAATATGCTTATCGATAACTTTTTTGTAGAAAAATGTTGTTATCGATGGCCGTTGTAGGCAAATGTTGGGTTATCGATAACATTTGTGCAGAAAAATGTTGATATCGATCAGTTTTTTTTGCTGTCATGTTTTAATCGGTGAATTTTCTGTACAAAAATTTTGTTATCGATAACTTTTCTATACAGAAATGTTGTTATCGATAACTCTTCTACTTAGAAGTGTTGTTATCGACAGCTTTTCTTTATGTAAATGTTGCTATCGATAACTTTTCTATACAGAAACATGTTTATCGATAACTTTTTTCGCAGAAATATCTTGTTATCGATGACCGTTGTACGCAAATATTGGGTTATCGATAACTTTTGTGTATAGAAATGTTGTTATCGATAATTTTTCTTTACGGACATGTTGTTATCGTTGAATTTTCTTGTTATCGATAACTTTTCTACACAGAAATGTTGTTATCGATAACTTTTCTACACAGAAATGTTGTTATCGATAACTCTTCTGCATAGAAATGTTGTTATCGATAACTTTTCTAGGCGGAAAAGTTATTATCGATAATTTTTCTATACGGAAAAGTTATTAGCGATAACTTTCCTATACGGAAAAGTTATTATCGATAACTTTTCTATACGGAAAAGTTATTATCGATAACTTTCCTATACGGAAAAGTTATTATCGATAACTTTTCTATACGGAAAAGTTATTATCGATAACTTTCCTATACGGAAAAGTTATTATCGATAACTTTTCCATACAGAAAAGTTATTTTCGATAACTTTTCTATACGGAAAAGCTGTTATCGATAACTTTTCTATACGGAGAAGCTGTTATCGATAACTTCTGTCTACGGAAAAGCTATTATGGATAATTTTTCTCTACGGAAAAGTAATTATCGATAACTTTTCTATACGGAACAGTTATTATCGATAACTTTTCTACACGGAAAAGTTGTTAGCGATAACTTTTCTATGCAGAAACATGTTTATCGATAACTTTTTTTTGCAGAAATATATTGTTGGGTTATCGTTAATCTTTGTGCAGAAAGATGTTGTTATCGGTTATTATTGTTTGCCGAAATGTTGTTATCGACAAGTTTTTCACACAGAAATGTTGTTATCGATCACTTTTCAATGCAAAAATATTATTATTGACAATGTCTCTGTACAAAAATGTTGTTTATCTATGGTTAACTTTTCTGTGGGAAAATGTTGTTGTGAAACCTTTTTGTTGTTGAAGAAGGGTGTGCCATTTTTGACACCATCCACAAGGTTTATTACTAGTCCTTAGAAAAATGTTTTTTTGTTTTTATTTTTAATAATATATGCAATGGAATATTTCTTATGGTCATTGTTGTTTTATTGTTTGTTTTGTTGTTGTAAGTTGATGTTACGTTTTATGGTCTTCTTAATCTAAATGTTCAATAAATTTGCTGCCATTAATAATCGGTCAATCAAACTTGTTGGCATGCATAATTAGGCCAAAAGGTGTGTTGTGGTTGTTGTTCGGCGCGACCCTATTCACTTTTATTCAAATGCCCAGCAGCATGAATTGGCTGGAATATTTACATAGTCAGTAGAATGTTTGGTGATGGTGGTGGAGGTCATGAATTATTTATGGCATATCTTGGTCGGAAACAAAAACAACATGATGTTCGGAACATTCTTTTGGTAGATTTTATTTTTTGAGTGGGATCAGGTTTTGAAATAGGAAATTCTAGTGGCATATTTTTTTTTATCAAAGAAACAGACCTTACGAGGGTTCGAAATGAGGTCGATAAGTTTAGTTTTAACTTAGAAGCGTCAGAATGCGAGCGTGTTTAGCGTTAGTTCTTGGGGCTGTTCTCGTTTTTGGGGCTGTGGATGCCCAACGGCTTAGCACAAATGCGGTTAGCTATTTTTTTGAGGTATTGCGTCACGGTGCCGAGGATGCGCGCATGGAATATCGTGACAATGAAATACCGTTGTTGGATGAGTATGACTTCATAATTGCGGGAGCGGGTACGGCGGGGTGTGCCCTGGCCGGCCGACTTTCGGAGATAACGTCATGGAAGATTTTACTGCTCGAGGCAGGTGGTCCCGAATATCTGCCCATAGATTTGCCGATTGTGGCAAATATTCTACAGCTGAGTCCGGATCTTAATTGGGGCTATCGTACCCAGCCATCGGATAAATATTGTCTGGGTTTGAATGACAATCGTTGCAATTTCCCGCGCGGCAAGGTCATGGGCGGCAGTTCGGTGTTGAATTACATGATGTACACGCGAGGCAATCGCCGGGATTATGACACCTGGGCGGCCATGGGCAATGAGGGCTGGAGCTACAAGGATGTACTGCCATATTTCAAGAAATTGGAGGGCTCCATCATACCCGATGCCGATGAGGAATATGTGGGCCGCAACGGACCCGTACGTGTGTCCTACGCCAAATGGCACACCCAGCTGAGTGAAGCTTTTGTGGCTGCTGTACAGGAGAATGGTTATGATTATTTGGACTACAATGGACGCCGCCAAGTGGGGGTCCAATATGCCCAGACCACTACCGATCAAACCCACCGATGGAGTTCGAACCGGGCCTATTTGTATCCCGTCAAAGGTCAACGTCCAAATCTGCACATCAAGAAGTATGCCCATGTCACCAAGATACTCATCGATCCGCAAACGAAACGGGCCTATGGTGTAAAGTTCGAATCCCAGGGTAAGGTGTATGAGGTCAGGGCCCGCAAAGAGGTGATATCCTCGGCGGGAGCCATCAACACGCCTCAACTGCTGATGTTGTCGGGTGTGGGGCCGGCCAAACATTTACGCCAGGTGGGCATACAGCCATTAGCCGATTTGGCTGTGGGCTTTAATCTGCAGGATCACATTGCCCCACCCGTCAATGTTGTGGCCAATGTAAGCAGCATCAAATTGCCCGATCTCTTTGACACCGAGAACTTCCTGGCCCTACAGACCATGAACAGCTCACTCTCCGTGGCCGGTGGCCTGGAGGTTATTGCCTTCTATGACCTCGATCATCCCAATGATCCAGATGGCTGGCCAGACATTGAATTCATTGTGGCCGATTCATCGTATCACGAAAATCCTTTCCTGGCCCGGGCAGCTGGTATACGCCAGGACATCTTCGACGATCTCTATGCCGAGGCCCAGCGAGAAGATCTCAATGTCTTCGCCATTGTTTCCATGCAGCTGCAGCCACGCAGCAAGGGTCGCATCCTGCTGCGCAGCAAAGATCCCAAAAAATATCCCCTCATCTATGCCAACTACCTGCACGATCCCTACGATCTGGACATTGTGGTGCGCGGTATTGAGAAGATCATTGAACTGCTCGATGAACCCTCAATGCGTCGCGTGAATGCTACCCTGCTGAACAGCAGCATAAAACCCTGTCGTAAATATGGCCACATTAGGTCACGACCCTATCTGGAATGCTATGTCCGATACCTGACCACCACCATCTACCATCAATCGGGTACGGCGAAAATGGGACCCCGTTCCGATAAAGAGGCCGTTGTCGACAATCGTCTGCGCGTGCATGGCATTAAGAATCTACGCGTTGTCGATGCCAGCATAATGCCAAAGCTGGTGGCTGGCCATCCCAATGGACCGGTTTATATGATTGCTGAGAAGGCGGCAGATATGATCAAACAAGATCATGGGATGTTGTGAAGAGATAAAAAGAAGAAGAAGAAAGAACACACACATGAACTTTGGACTGAGTATTAATGTATTAAATTAGTTTTAAAAAAGAATATTTGTTAAAATTTGAAATGTTGCTTAATTTTAGAAAAACACACAAAGGGGAGTAGAATGAGGAAACAAATAAAATTTTTCTATAATAAAATGTTAAAATAATAAAAATAAGAATGTTTTATTGATTAATTATCGAAAATAAATTTTTTGTAGAGAAAAGTTGTCGATAACAAGGTCTATGTTTAGAAAAAATATCGATAATAATTATTCCGTAAAGAAAAATTATCGATAACAACTTTTCTGTATAGAAAAATTATCGATAATAACTTTTCTGTATACAAAAATTATCGATAATAACTTTTCTGTATAGAAAACTTATCGATAACAACTTTTCTGTATGGAAAAAATATCGACAATAACTTTTCTGCATAGAAAATTTATCGATAATAACTTTTCCGTCGAGAAAAGTTATCGATAATAACTTTTCCATAGAGAAAAGTTATCGATAATAACTTTTCCATAGAGAAAAGTTATCGATAATAACTTTTCCGTAGAGAAAAGTTATCGATAATAATTTTTCCGCATAGAAAAGTTATCGATAATAACTTTTCCGCATAGAAAAGTTATCGATAATAACTTTTCCGCATAGAAAAGTTATCGATAATAACTTTTCCGCATAGAAAAGTTATCGATAATAGCTTTCCTGTATAGAAAAGTTATCGATAATAACTTTTCCGTATAGAAAAGTTATCGATAATAACTTTTCCGTATAGAAAAGTTATCGATAATAACTTTTCCGTATAGAAAAGTTATCGATAATAACTTTTCCGTATAGAAAAGTTATCGATAATAACTTTTCCGTAGAGAAAAGTTATCGATGATGACATTTCCGCATAGAAAAGTTATCGATAATAACTTTTCCGCATAGAAAAGTTATCGATAATAACTTTTCCGCATAGAAAAGTTATCGACAATAATTTTTCTGTATAGTTATCGATAATAAGTTTTATTTATAAAAAAGTTATCGATAATAAGTTTTCTGTAGAGAAAAGTTATCGATAATAAGTTTTCTGTAGAGAAAAGTTATCGATAATAACTTTTCTATAAAGAAAATTTATCGATAATAACTTTTCTGTATAGAAATGTTATCGATAAAAACTTTCCTGTATAGAAAAGTTATCGATAATAACTTTCCTGTATAGAAAAGTTATCGATAATATTTTTTCCGCATAGAAAAGTTATCGATAATAACTTTTCTGTATAGAAAAGTTATCGATAATAAGTTTTATTTATAAAAAAGTTATCGATTATAGCTTTCCTGTATAGAAAAGTTATCGATAATAACTTTTCCGCATAGAAAAGTTGTCGATAATAACTTTTCCGTATAGAAAAGTTATCGATAATAAGTTTTATTTTTAAAAAAGTTATCGATAATAAGTTTTATTTATAAAAAAGTTATCGATAATAACTTTTCTGTAGAGAAAAGTTATCGATAATAACTTTTCCGTACAGAAAAGTTATCGCACAGAAAAGTTATCGATAATAACTTTTCCGTATAGAAAAGTTATCGATAATAACTTTTCTGTAGAGAAAATTTATCGATAATAACTTTTCTGCAGAGAAAATTTATCGATAATAACTTTTCTGTAGAGAAAAGTTATCGATAATAACTTTTCTGTAGAGAAAAGTTATCGATAATAACTTTTCTGTAGAGAAAAGTTATCGATAATAACTGTTCCGTAGAGAAAAGTTATCGAAAATATGTTATTTGGTGGTGATGACCTTCTTATTTTTTCATGGAAATAATGACATTGGGCGCCACCCCACAAAACCAAATTGGGACCACCCAATTCGAAAAAAAATTTTTTTTGGTCCACAAAATATCCATCGTTCCACCCTATGTTCGGGTCATCTGGGGTGTAAATAATGCATCAACTAATTGCGTATAAATTACATTTTTAACTGACTCTGAACCTAGTTTTAATTTGAAATTAAATGCGTGATGTTGTCATCATGGCATCTGATTCGAATGTTCGCCTTGGTCTTGATATTGTCCAGCCAAACGGCAAAAACGGAGCAACAATCTCCCAGTCAATCCAATATCTTGACATTCATATACGATTTTCTCAAGGATGGCCAGCAGAGATTGAATTCGGAGAACCAAGACAATGAGGTGAAGTTGGCGAAGGAATACGATTTCATTGTGGTGGGTGCGGGAACGGCAGGTTGTGCCTTGGCTGCGAGGTTGTCGGAGATACGAAATTGGTCAATTCTCTTACTGGAGGCTGGAGGTCCAGAACTTTTGCCCATGGATATACCCATGATGGCCCATCTCTGGCAAGGCAACCCTTATTTGGACTGGAACTATCGCACCCAACCATCGAAGGAATATTGTTTGGCCATGAGTGGCGCCCAATGTCATTTCACGCGAGGCAAGGTGATGGGAGGATCGTCGGTGTTGAATTACATGATTTATACCCGAGGTAGTCGCTGGGATTATGACAACTGGTCGAGAATGGGAAATCTGGGATGGAGTTATGACGAGGTGTTGCCATATTTTAAGAAACTTGAGGACTCAACGGTCCCAAATGCAGATGCCGGATACGTGGGTCATGGCGGCCCAGTGAAAGTGACTTCCATCAAATATCGCACACCCATTGCCAAGGCATTTGTCCAAGCCGTGCAGGAGGATGGTTTGCCTTATGTGGACTATAATGGCCGACATCAAATTGGAGTTTCCTATTTGCAGACCACCACGGATCAGAGTTATCGCTGGAGCTCAAATCGTGCATATCTTTATCCGCTGAAAGGGAAACGTCCCAATTTGCACATTCGGAAATATAGCCATGTGACCAGGATACTAATTGACCCCCACACAAAAATCGCGTATGGTGTAAGGTTCGAGTCGCAGGGTAAAATCTACGAAATTCAGGTCCGGAAGGAAGTCATTATCTCGGCGGGAGCCATAAACACCCCACAACTGCTAATGTTATCCGGGGTGGGACCCAGACAACATTTACAGAAACTTGGCATAGAATCCCTAGTGGACCTACCAGTGGGTCACAATCTCCAGGATCATTTGGCGGCAGGTTTGAATTTCCACAGCCAGGCCCCGACCCTTAAAATTTCGGAATTTTTTAATCTAAGTGTGATCCTAAACCTTTCAAACGGCCTGAGTCCGCTAAATCTACCGGGAGGCGTGGAAGCTTTGGCATTTCATGATTTGTCACAGCCCGGCAATCCAAATGGTTGGCCAGACATTGAGTGGTTTCTAAGCAGCGGTGCCCTCTACTCAAATCCTCGGATTTGCCAAAGTTTGGGTATAAGGCCAGACATTGTGGCCTCCCTTTACGCCAAGGCCATAGAAGAAGACCTCAATGTTTTCATGATCTTCGTTAAACTTTTGCGGCCACGCAGCAAAGGTAAAATCCTGCTAGCCAGTAGAGATCCAAAACAACCTCCCCTAATTTACCCGAATTTCCTCAAGGACCCCCAAGACATCGATACCCTGGTGCGTGGCATGCAAAAGGCCATTAATCTAATGGCCACACCAACAATGCGTCGTTTGAATGGCACATTTTTACAACAAAAAATTCCAGGATGCCAACATTTTCGGGACATCACCTCCCGAGGCTACTTGGAGTGTTATGTACGTCATCTAAGTTTTACAATTTACCATCAATCGGGTACGGCCAAAATGGGTCCCAAATGGGACAGGGAAGCGGTGGTTGATCCGCGTCTGAGGGTTTATGGTGTTCAAAGGCTAAGAGTGGTCGATGCCAGCATTATGCCCAGCATCATTGCTGGACATCCCAACGGGCCGATTTTTATGATTGCCGAAAAGGCAGCAGACATGATTAAGCAAGATCATGGAGAATTGTGAAAAGGTGGAAATAAATTGAACAAAAAATATTTTATTTGTTTAAAAAAATTGAAAGGGTAATATTGATATCGATAAATATAGAAAAGTTATTATCGATAACTTTTCTATACGGAAATGTTATTATCGATAACTTTTCTATTCGAAAAAGTTATTATCGATAACTTTTCTATGCGCAAAAATTATTATCGATAACTTTTCTATACGGAAATGTTATTATCGATAACTTTTCTATACGGAAATGTTATTATCGATAATTTTTCTAGGCGGAAAAGTTACTATCGATAATTTTTCTAGGCGGAAAAGTTACTATCGATAAGTTTTCTAGGCGGAAAAGTTACTATCGATAACTTTTCTAGGCGGAAAAGTTACAGAAAAGCTATTATCGATAACTTTTTGATACAGAAAAGTTATTATCGATAACTTTTCTAGGCGGAAAAGTTACTATCGATAACTTTTCTAGGCGGAAAAGTTACTATCGATCACTTTTCTAGGCGGAAAAGTTACTATCGATAACTTTTCTAGGCGGAAAAGTTACTATCGATAACTTTTCTAGGCGGAAAAGTTACTATCGATAACTTTTCTAGGCGGAAAAGTTACTATCGATCACTTTTCTAGGCGGAAAAGTTACTATCGATAACTTTTCTAGGCGGAAAAGTTACTATCGATAACTTTTCTAGGCGGAAAAGTTACTATCGATAACTTTTCTAGGCGGAAAAGTTACTATCGATAAGTTTTCTAGGCGGAAAAGTTACTATCGATAAGTTTTCTAGGCGGAAAAGTTACTATCGATACGTTTTCTAGGCGGAAAAGTTACTATCGATAAGTTTTCTAGGCGGAAAAGTTACTATCGATAAGTTTTCTAGGCGGAAAAGTTACTATCGATAAGTTTTCTAGGCGGAAAAGTTATTATCGATAACATTTCTCTACGGAAAAGCTGTTATCGACAACTTTTCTATGCGCAAAAGTTGTTATCGATAACTTTTCTATACAGGAAATTTATTATCGATAACATTAAAAGTTATTACCGATAACTTTTCTATACGGAAAAGCTGTTATCGATAACATTTCTCTTCGGAGTTAATATCGACAACATTTCTCTTCAGAAAAGTTATTATCGATAACTTTTCTATGCGGAAAAGTTATTATCGATAACATTTCTCTACGGAAAAATTAATATCGATAACTTTTCTATGCGTAGAAGTTATTATCGATAATTTTTCTATGCGTAAAATTTTTTATCGATAACTTTTCTATCCAGAAAAGTTATTATCGATATCTTTTCTATCCAGAAAAATTATTATCGATAAGTTTTTTATATGAAAAAGCTATTATCGATAACTTTTCATTTTTTCCCATTCTAGTTGTTATCGAATCTCATAAATTTGCAAAAAAATCGCTTAAATCGTTGTTCAGTTGTATGAAATCTTTTTCATCATCTCAAGCTAATATCTCTAAATAACAATAAAAAAAACTCCATTCTCGTCCAACTTGCTAATAGAATGCCTAATGGCCTAATAACAAATACAACGATTGACACTTAAATTTCAGTTGTTAAACTGAAATATTGAAGCGTCAACCAGTTATTAGATTGACTTGGATATTTTGTTTTTTTTTTTTTTTGTTTTTGTTTTTTGTTCTTTTTTGGAATATTTCTTCACACACAATTGGCCATTTTTAGAACATTAACACCAAAACGTGCCAGTATAATTTTTTTAACAATATTTTATGAATTTTTGTAAACAAATAGACCATAAGAGCATCGAAATATTTGAACTGAATTGAAAAGGAGATGTTATGCAATTGTGTGAATTATGAAGGGAATTTTCCTGAAGATTTATTGAATTTTTTAAATATTTTTTTTTATTTTTAATTATTTTTTTAGACAAATAGCTATTTCCTGAAAAAAAAAATTAAATTTATGCAATTGGGTGAACAATAAAAGGGAATTCCCTGAAGATTTATTGATTTTTTTTTAAGAATTTCTTTTAATTTTTTATTTAATTTTTAAAGATGAATAGCTTTTTCCCAAAAAAAAAAACATTAAAAATTTATGCAATTGGGTGAACAATAAAAGGGAATTCCATGAAGATTTATTGAATTTTTCAAATATTTTTTTATTTTTTTGTTTGCTCATTTTTATAGGTAAATAACTATTTACAAAAAAAAAAAAAAAAAAAAAAAAAAGAAATTTCAAAAAGAAATTTCTACAAATTTTCTTTTTTTTAAGGAATTTTTTATTAAATTTTTAAAGATAAATAGCTATTTCCCAAAAAAAAAATATATAACAAATTTATGCAATTGGGTGAACAATAAAAGATTTATTGATTTTTTAATTTTTTTTTATGTAATTTTTATAGATAGATAACTATTTACAAAAAAAATGTTATCAATTTCAAAAAGAAATCCCTACAAATTTTCTTTTTTAAGAAATTTTTAAATTTTTTTTTATTTAATTCTTAAAGATAAATAGCTATTTCTCAAATATATATATATATATATATACATATATATATATATATATATATATATATATATATATATATATATATATATATATATATATATATATATATATATATATATATATATATATATATATATATATATTAAAAATTTATGCAATTGGGTGAACAATAAAAGGGAATTCTCTGAAGATTTATTGAATTTTTTAAATATTTTTTTTGTATTTTTTATTTAATTTTTATAGGTAAATAATTGTTTACAAAAAAAAAAAATATTAAAAATTTCAAAAAGGAATCCCTACAAATTTTCTTTTTTTTCAGAAAATTTTTATTTTTTTTTATTTAATTTTTAAAGGTAAATAGCTATTTCCGAAAAAAATATATATTAAAATTTTATGCAATTGGGTGAACAATAAAAGGAATTCCCTAAAGATTTATTGAATTTTTTAATTTTTTTTATTTAATTTGTATAGGTAGATAATTATTTACAAAAACAATGTATTAAAAATTTCAAAAAGAAATCCCTACAAATTTTCTTTTTTTCAGAAATTTTTTATTTATTTTATTTAATTTTTAAAGGTAAATAGATATTTTCCAAAAAAATAATAAAAATTTATGCAATTGTGTAAACAATAAAAGAGAATTCCCTGAAGATTTATTGAATTTTTTAAATACATATTTTTTTATTTAATTTTTATAGGTAAATAATTATTTACAAAAAAAAAAAAATATTAAAAATTTCAAAAAGGAATCCCTACAAATTTTCTTTTTTTTTGTCCAGAAATTTTTTATTTTATTTATTTAATTTTTAAAGGTAAATAGCTATTTCCCAAAAAAAGGAATTCCTTGAAGATTTATTGTATTTTTTAAATAATTTTTTTTTATTTTTTATGTAATTTTTATAGGTAAATAACAATTTACAAAAAAAAAATATTAAAAATTTCAAAAAGAAATCCCTACAACCTTCCTTTTTTTAAGGATTTTTTTTTTATTTTTAATTTAATTTTTAAAGTTAAATAGCTATTTCCTAAAAAAAAAATATATTAAAAATTTATACAATTGGGTGAACAATAAAACAGAATTCCCTAAAGATTTATTGACATTTTTAAATACTTTTTTATTTTTTATGTAATTTTTATATGTAGATAATTATTTACAAAAAAAAAAAAAAATATTAAAAATTTCAAAAAGAAATCCCTACAAATTTTCTTTTTTTAAGAATTTTTTTTTTAAATTTTTTTTTTAATTTTTAAAGGTAAATAGATATTTAAAAAAAAAATATGCAATTGGGTGAACAATAAAAGGGAATTCCCTGAAGATTTATTGAATTTTTTAAATATTTTTTTTTTATTTTTTATTTAATTTTTAGAGGTAAATAACTATTTACAAAAAAAAAAATATAATAAAAATTTCAAAAAGAAATCCCTACAAATTGTCTTGTTTTTAAGAATTTTTTTAATTTTTTTATTTAATTTTTAATGATAAATAGCTATTTCTCAAAAAAAAATATTAAAAATTTATGCAATTGGGTCAACAATAAAAGGGAATTCCCTGAAGATTTATTGTTTTTTTTTTTTAAATATTTTTTTATTTTTTATGTCATTTTTATAGGTAAATAATTATTTACAAAAAAAAATAATATTAAAAATTTCAAAAAGAAATTCCTACAAATTTTCTTTTTAAGAAATTTTTTAATTTTTTATTTAATTTTTAAAGATAAATAGCTATTTCCCAAAAAAGAAATATTATTAATTTATGCAATTGGAGAGAATTTTTTAAATATTTTTTATTTGTTTTTATGTAATTTTTATAGGTAAATAATTATTTACCAAAAAAATATATTGAAAATTTCAAAAAGAAATCCCTACAAACTATAAAAAGGGAATTCCCTGATAATTTATTGAATTTTTTAAATATTTTTTTATTTAATTTTTATAGGTAGATAACTATTTACAAAAAAAAAATAAAAATTTCAAAAAGAAATCCCTACAAATTTTCTTTTTTTAAGAAATTTTTTTAATTTTTAAAGATAAATAGCTATTTTCCAAAAAAAAAAAAAATATTAAAAATTTATGCAATTGGGTGAACAATAAAAGGAAATTCCCTGACGGTTTATTGAGTTTTTTAAATATTTTTTTATTTTTTTATGTAATTTTTGTACGTAAATAACTATTTACAAAAAAAAAAAAAAAATTAAAAAATTCCAAAAAGAAATCCCTACAAATTTTCTCTTTTTTAAGAAATTTGTTAATTTTTTTATATAATTTTTAAAGATAAATTTATGCAATTGGGTAAACAATAAATGGGAATTCCCTGAAGATTTATTGAATTTTTTAAATATTTTTTTATGTCATTTTTATAGGTAGATAGCTAAAATATTAAAAATTTCAAAAAGAAATCCCTACAAATTTTCTTGTTTTTAAGAAATTTTTTATTTAATTTTTAAAGATAAATAGCTATTTCCCAAAAAAAAATATATTAAAAATTTATGCAATTGGGTGAACAATAAAGGGGAATTCCCTGAAGATTTATTGAATTTTTTAAATAATTTTTTTTTTATATAATTTTTATAGGTAAATAATTATTTACAAAAAAATATTAAAAATTTCAAAAAGAAATCTCTACAAATTTTCCTTTTTTTAAGAAAATTTTTTAATTTTTTTATTTAATTTTTAAAGATAAATAGCTATTTCCCAAAAAGAAAAAAATATTTAAAAATTTATACAATTGGGGGAACAATAAAAGGGAATTCCCTGAAGATTTTTAAATATTTTTTTTATTTTTTATGTAATTTTTATAGATAAATAACTATTTACAAAAAAAAAAAAAATATTAAAAATATCAAAAAGAAATCCCTACAAATTTTCTATTTTTTAAGATTTTTTTTTTAATTTTTTTATTTAATTTTTAAAGATAAATAGCTATTTCCCAAAAAAAAAAATATTAAAATTTTATGCAATTGAACAATATCCCTGAAATTTTATTGAATTTTTTAAATATATATTTTTTTATTTTTTATGTAATTTTTATAGATAGATAACTATTTACAAAAAAAAAAATCAAAAAGAAATCCCTACAAATTTTCTTGTTTTTAAGATTTTTTTTAATTTTTTATTTAATTTTTTAAGATAAATAGCTATTTCCCAAAAAAAAAAAAATATAAAAAATTTATGCAATTGGGTGAACAATAAAAGGGAATTCCCTGAAGATTTATTGAATTTTTTAAATATTTTTTATTTTTTTTTATTTAATTTTCATGGGTAAATAACTATTTACAAAAATAAAAAAATATTAAAAATTAAAAAATTAAAAATTTCCAAATTAAAAATTATTTTTAATAATTATTTTTTAAATTTTTAAAACATACCTCTTTGCCACCGAGAAAATAAAAATCAAATAATTTTTATATTTCATATTTTTTTATTAATTTAATTAATATATATATATATATTTTTTTATTATATAAATAATTATTTACAAAATAAATTTACTTTCTAAAAAAATATATTTTATATTCGGTATTATTTTTTATTTTTTTTTTTCTGGAAATTTTTTTAAAAAATAATTTAACTTAACTTAATCTTAAAATTTATGACAATGACGTAGGTTTTGTGAATTACATGTAAATGTCAATAAATTATTATTTAAATATTTTTTATTTATTTATTTATTTTTTTTTTTTTGAAAATAAAAAAATACAATTTATTAGCTGCTAATCTAGGGGTGTCTTAATAAAATATAAAACAGATACAAATAGCTTTAATAAATTATATTAACAACAACTAAGTGACTGGCTGGCTGGTTGGCTGACTGACTGGGCAATAAAAAACATGCCATTAAAATTATGGTAATTACTTTTTATTTTTATGTTACAAACAAATAAAAAACAAAAACAATTGCATTTATGATACACATGGCAACTCTCATAAAACTAGTGGTACAACAACGACAACAACAAAAAATCCCCCTGAACAGAATTTTGGCATGAGGTCGTGAGGTGAACCCACATTTATGACAGCCTTTTTGGGAGGTACTCAAAAAATTTTCTCTCTCCTCTCTTCCAACCCCGCTAACTCTTAACTGTATTCTTATACTCCGGATTGTGGAACCAATCCTCTTTGATCAAATCTGCCCCCTTTTCCCCAATCATAATGACAGGGGCATTGGTATTACCACTGCTAATGGTGGGCATAATGCTGGCATCAATAACCCTAAGGCCTCTTACACCATATACCCTCAATCGGGGATCCACCACGGCCTCCTGATCCCAGGCTGGTCCCATTTTGGCCGTACCACATGGATGATAAATTGTCATTGAAATGGTCCTAATGTGACACTCAATGTAGGCATCCGACATAAATTTATGTTGCTTACAATTCGGCAGAGGTTTGGTCCACAGCCTCGAGCCGAATTGTTTGAACACCTTGGCTTCAGCCACTCGCAGGGCAATCTTGGCGCCCTCTACCAAAACCTTGACATCCAAGGGATCATCAAAATAATTCGAGGTAATCAGGGGATAGGCAAAGGGGTTGGCTGAACGTAGTCGTACCCAACCCCTTGATCTGGGTCTCAGCAGTAGGGGTATAATACTCCAGGCATCCTTGTTGGCAATTGGCTGATAGACCTCCTGATACAGGGACTCCTTCAGACCCATTACCTTCTTGACCCTGGCTCCATTATCCGAATTTATACTAGCCGGGGCCATGTGGAACTGTATATCCGGCCAATCCAGCGATCTATTGGAATAAGGCGTATGGACAAAGGCCAAACCCTCCACCCCGCCCAAGGTGGTCATGGGACCCCTTTCCCTCAACACATATTGCATGGTTATGCCCGTGGGATTAAAACGATCCTGGACAATGGACACCGGTTTGTCGACCAAAAAGGTCAAGCCTCCCATGCCCACATGATCCTGCATATTTTCACCCACCGGCAGATCCTGCAAAACCTTAATACCCAAATCCTCCAAATGCTGTCGGGGGCCAATGCCCGACAACATCATGAGCTGGGGGGTATTTATGGCCCCCGCCGAGAGCACTACCTCCCTTTTGGCATAGACCCTCTTCACCTGGCCATTTTTCACAAACTCCACCCCCTTTACCCTCATCGTCTGCTCATCGATCAGCAATTTCGTGGCCTGCGAATTCAAGGACATGTGGAAATTTTTCCTATATTTTATGGGTCTCAAAAAAGCCTTGGCCGTGCTGCAGCGTGATCCCCGGCGCAGGGTACCCTGGGCCATCATAAACCCTGTTTGTATCTCCCCATTAATATCCCGATTTTCATAACCAATTTCCGTGCCAGCCTCCACAAAGGCCGCCACCAGGGGAGTGTGCCAAGGCGATTCTTGTACCGTCAAATAGCCTCCCTTGCCATGATAGGGATTATTACTCAAATAGGGGTTACGATTATCCTCCGATTTCTTGAAGTAGTGCAGCACACTGTCATAACCCCAACCCTCATTGCCCAGTGCCTCCCAGTGATCGTAGTCATGGCGATTGCCCCGCACATAGAGCATATAATTCAGAACACTCGAGCCGCCCAACACCTTACCCCTCGGCCAGTTGCAGCGATTATTTTTCATGCCCAAACATGATTTATTCGATGACTCGGTTTTGTATTGCCAATCCAATTTACTTAGCTGTAAATAGGCCGCCAGCGAGGGGACATCGGAAATTTCATTTTCATCTGGACCCGCCTCGAGCAGTAGGACATTCCATTTGCGTACCTCACTTAGGCGATTGGCTACCACTGCCCCTGCTGAGCCAGCTCCCACCACAATGAAGTCATATTCTGTATACAAAGTGGGTTGATCGAATACCCTTGACTCTGGATCCACCTGGTCATAGCGATAATAGGTAATGGTGGCCAGCAGGAGAGGTATGAGCCATAGGCCTGTGGTGACCACTCCAAATGTGGATTTTATCACAGTTGTAATGAATAGCAAATTGAAGACCATCTTCCTGTTGTCGAAAAGGGGAAGGGGAAGGACTCTCCAGGTAACAAGTTTCCAGGGGGAGGAGGGGGAAGCTCTTGAAGCAATTTGTTTCTCTTTTTTGGGGGTGTTTGATTTTTCTCTTCTTCGTATGCCTCTTAGAGTTTTTTGCGTTTGCTCATTGTAGCCAATGAGCCTGGAGACTTAACAGTGCAGCGATTCAGGTCTGAAAAGAGAAAGAGAGAGAGAATGATTATTGGTTTAGGTTGTTAAGAGATAAATTAAAATAATAATAGGGAGAGCGAAAGAGAAAAGATAATAATTCTTAAAAAAATATTTTTAACAAATTCACGTTTGAGAAAAATTAAAAAAAAAATAATTTTTAAAAAATTCACGTTTGGAAAAAATTCTTCAAAAAATAATTTTTAAAAAATTCACGTTTGAGAAAAATTCTTAAAAAATAATTTTTAAAAAATTCACGTTTGAGAAAAATTCTTAAAAAATAATTTTTAATAAATCCAATTTTGAGAAAAATTCTTAAAAAATATTTTTATAAAAATCCACGTTTAAGGATAGTCCTTGGAAAAATATTTTTATAAAAATCCACGTTTAAGGATAGTCCTTGGAAAAATATTTTTATAAAAATCCACGTTTAAGGATAGTCCTTGGAAAAATATTTTTTTTAAATCCACGTTTGTGGATAGTCCTTGGAAAAATGTTTTTAATAAATCCACGTTTGGGGATAATCCTTGGAAAAAATATTTTTATAAAAGTCCACGTTTGTGAATGGTCCTTAAAAAAATATTTTAAATAAATCCACGCTTGAGAAAAATTCTTAAAAAAATATTTTTAATAAATTCATGTTTGAGAAAAATTCTTAAAAACATATTTTTTAATAAATCCACGTTTGAGAATAATTGCTAAAAAAATAGTTTTAATAAATCCACGTTTAAGAATAATTGTTAAAAAAAATATTTTTAAGAAATCCACGTTTGAGAAAAATTCTTAAAAAAATATTTTTAGTAAATGCACGTTTGAGAAAAATCCTTAAAAACATATTTTTAAAAAAATCCACGTTTGTGGATAGTCTTTAAAAAATATTTTTTTAAAGATCCACTTTTGAGGGTGGTATTGAAAAAATATTTTTTAAAGATCCACTTTTGAGGGTGGTATTGAAAAAATATTGTTTTAAAAATCCACGTTTGTGTACAGTCTATAAAATATATTTTTAATAAATCCACGTTTGAGAAAAATTCTTAAAAAAATATTGTTTAAAAATCCACTTTTGAGAATAATTCTCAAAAAAAAAATATTTTTAAAAAATCCACGTTTGAGAAAAATTCTTAAAAAAATATTTTTAATAAATCCACGTCTGAGGTTAGTCCTTTAAAAAATATTTTTAAAAAATCCACGTTTGAGAAAAATTCTTAAAAAAATATTGTTTAAAAATCCACTTTTGAGAATAATTCTCAAAAAAAAAATATTTTTAAAAAATCCACGTTTGAGAAAAATTCTTAAAAAAATATTTTTAATAAATCCACGTCTGAGGTTAGTCCTTTAAAAAATATTTTTAATAAATCCACGTTTGGGGATAGTCCTTTAAAAAATATTTTTAATAAATCCACGTTTGTGGATAGTACTTTAAAAAATAATTTTAATAAATCCACGTTTGGGGATAGTCCTTTAAAAAATATTTTTAATAAATCCACGTTTGTGGATAGTACTTTAAAAAATAATTTTAATAAATCCACGTTTGTGGAAGGTTTAAAAAAAATATTTTTAATAAATCCACGTTTGTGGATAGTCTTTAAAAAATATATTTTTTTAAAAATCCACGTTTGTTGAAAGTCTTTTTAAAAATATTTTTTAAAAATCCACGTTTGTTGAAAGTCTTTTTAAAAATATTTTTTAAAAAATCCGCGTTTGAGAATAGTCATTGAAAAAATATTTTTGATAAATCCACGTCTGAGGATAGTCCTGGGAAAAAATATTTTTAATAAATCCACGTCTGAGGATAGTCCTTGGAAAAAATCTTTTAAAAAAAATCCACGTTTGTGGATAGTTTTAAAAATATTTTTTTTTTAAATCCACGTCTGAGGATAGTCCTTGGAAAAAATCTTTTTAAAAAAAATCCACGTTTGTGGATAGTTTTAAAAATATTTTTTTAAAAATCCACGTTTGTGGATAGTTTTAAAAATATTTTTTTTTAAATCCACGTCTGAGGATAGTCCTTGGAAAAAATCTTTTTAAAAAAAATCCACGTTTGTGGATAGTTTTAAAAATATTTTTTTAAAAATCCACGTTTGTGGATAGTTTTAAAAATATTTTTTTTTTTAAAATCCACGTCTGAGGATAGTCCTTGGAAAAAATCTTTTTAAAAAAATCCACGTCTGAGGATAAAAATATTTTTTTAAAAATCCACGTTTGTGGATAGTTTTAAAAATATTTTTTTTAAATCCACGTCTGAGGATAGTCCTTGGAAAAAATCTTTTTAAAAAAATCCACGTTTGTGGATAGTTTTAAAAATATTTTTTTTAAAAATCCACGTTTGTGGATAGTTTTAAAAATATTTTTTTTAAAAATCCACGTTTGTGGATAGTTTTAAAAATATTTTTTTTTAAAAATCCACGTTTGTGGATAGTTGTAAAAATATTTTTTTTTTAAATCCACGTTGCTGGATAGTCCTTAAAAATATTCTTTTAAAAATCCACGTTTGTGGATAGTCCTAAAAATATTTTTAAAAAATCCAAGTTTTTCGAGTTTGTTTTGTAATTTTTAATTTTTTCTCTTCTCCTCTTTTCAGGTGAGTGAGTCATCCCTCTGTTAAAAAACGAATATTTAAGTCTCTATCTCTGTAAGTAAATTAAATATTCCGAAAAAAGTGAACGTTTAACAATGTGAAACCACCTCGCAGCATCTCTGCATATTGCAAAATTTCAAATCGAATCAAATATTTGTCAAAAAAAACTCGCCGATCAAAACTACGTGACCATCTCTAAGCGTTTTGGTCAAGTCTGCTGCTCCGCTGTGCATAAATTTTGTTACGCATGCGCGGTGAATTGAAAATAAGAAAATGCAAATTTGTAAGATTCGTAAAAAAAGATTTGCCCAAGAAACTGGTTTCAGAGAGCGAGCGAGGAAGGGAGAACGAGAAAAGGTCGTTTGGGTTTTTTAAGGGTCTTTTCTTTTTTTTTTGAGAAATTGAAAATTTTGATTTTAAATGATTTTTGATAGAAAGTGATGTTGCCATGCCCCCTAGCCTCTGAAACTGGGTCAATGGTTTTGGCAGCGCCTTCGAACTTCTTGTTTATGCTCAAATTTGTTGGAAGTTGACGTTAACGTCAACTTCTTTTTCTTGCTGCTGCTGGCGTCGCTGCTGCCATTCAACTTTACTTCCGCAATAGTTAATTAAATTCCAAATTTTTATGTTACTTCCGTTATTTTTCTTAGATGGAGTTGTTGTTGTTGTTGGTTATTTTCATTTAAATAAATGCTAGTATTGGTTTTATCTTTAGTTTACCTTTAGTTGGTTTGTTGTCTTTGCTACCCCTGCCAATTTCTGCTAATTAATTTGTTATTAGCATTTATTTGTTTTAAACTTTGAAATGGAGTGTTGTTGTATTTTTTTTTTGTTGGTTCAGCATAACACACGAAGATGCTGTTTGCCCAAAATAGCCTAAAGGTTAATAAACTTCTTTCATGTGACTGTCATTTGGCTAGAATCTGCAATTTGTTTTCTTGCGTATCATATGACAACATTTGCAGCTTGTGGGATTGGAAATTTATTCATTCAACATTGTTTTTTTCTTAAAATCTTAACATTGACATTGGTATGGTTTTGTGGTCAAAGAAGCTATTAGCTATCAGCATATTTAACAGAATGTTCTAGTTTTCACCTTGAGGTTGGTGTAGGCCATTATTTGAATATTAGACAAATTTATTTTAGAAAAAAATTTGAATGACTTGGCAAGTTTCATTGAAAGTCGTTTAAAAGTTATTGGCTCTTCACGAAGTTGAGATGAATTGAAAAATATTCTAAAAATATTAAGAAAATATTTTTTTTTAAATCCGAGTTTTTCAATAGTCCTTTAAAAAATATTTTTTAAAAAATCCCCTTTTGTGGTCAGTCCTTTAAAAATGTTTTTAAAAAATCCACTTTTGTGGATAGTCCTTTAAAAACTATTTCTAAAAAATCCACGTTTGAGGATAGACGTTAAAAAAATATTTTTAAAAAATCCACGTTTGAGGATAGACTTTAAAAAAAAAATTTTTAAAAAATCCACGTTTGAGGATAGACCCTAAAAAATATTTTTAAAAAATCCACATCCAAAGATATTTTTAAAAAATCCACGTTTGTGGATAGTCCTTAAAATATTTTTTTAAAAACTCCACATTTGGGGATAGTCCTCTAAAAAATATTTTTAAGTGATCCACGTTTGTAGATAGTCCTGAGTTTTTTTAAATCCACGTTTGTTGGTAGTCCTTATTTTTTTTTTAAAATCCACGGTTGAGGATGGTCCTTAAAAAAATATTTTTAAAAAATCCACATTTGAGTATAGCCTATAAAAAAATATTTTTTAATAATTCACGTTCGTCGATAGTCCTCTAAAAATATTTTTAAGTGATCCACGTTTGATGATAATCCATAAAAAATATTTTTGATAAATCCACGTTGTTGGATAATCCTTAAAGAATATTTTTGAAAAATCCACGTTGGTAGATAATCCTTAAAAAATATTTTTGAGAAATCCACGTTTCAAGGTAGTCTAAAAAATATTTAAAAAAATCCACGTTTATGGAGAGTCCTTTAAAAAATATTTTTAAGAAATACAAGATTGATACAGAATTTGTATGTTCTTTAAAAAAATATTTTAAAAAATCCACATTTGTGGATAGTCCTTTAAAAAATATTTAAAAAAAAACCCCCATTTGAGGATAGTCCTTCGAAAAATATTTTTAAAAATCCACGTTTGTGGAGAGTCCTTTAAAAAATATTTTTAAAAAATCCACGTTGGTGGATAGTC